TCCTCGTCATGCCTTTTGGTCTGACTAACGCACCATCCACGTTTTAGAGCTTAATGAATGATATATTTGGGCCGTATCTCCGAAAGTTTGTCTTGGTCTTCTTTGATGATATCCTCATTTATAGCAAGACATGGTTGGAGCATATGTATCACATCCGCCTAGTCCTAGAACTGTTAAGGTCACATGGTCTCTTCTTAAAGCAGTCGAACTGCAGCTTCGGGGCCTCCCAGGTGCATTACTTAGGGCATGTCATCCCCAGCAAGGGAGTGGAAGTTGACCCGACAAAGATTCAGGCAGTCCGTGAGTGGCCTACCCCGACCTCTATCAATGTCTTACGAGGGTTCTTGGGGTTAGCAGGCTACTACCGCAAATTCATTCAGCATTATGGAGAGATCCCGACACCCTTAACCCAACTCTTGAAAAAGAATGAGTTCACCTGGAACGCAGCAGCAGAAGTAGCTTTCACAACGCTGAAACTCCGTTTGTCCACCACACCTGTGCTTCAGCTCCCAAATTTCACTAAACCTTTCGTTGTGGAATGCGATGCTTCTGGGAAGTGCATAGGGGCTGTTTTGCAGCAAGAAGGGCACCCGATAGCTTATTTCAGCCGTAAAATTGCAGACCGCCATGTGAAATTAGCCGCATATGAACGGGAATTCCTCGGTTTGGCTAAACCAGTGACTCACTGGCGGCCTTATTTGTGGGGTCAAGAATTTCTCATCCGCACCGACCACTCCAGTTTAAAACATTTATTGGACCAGCGTTTGACTACGTCCCCCCAACAACACTGGCTCAGCAAGTTAATGGGATTTAACTTTCGTGTTGAATACAAACCAGGACGCCTTAACACAGTTGCTGATGCTCTATCTCGACGTGACGGATTGGAGCCTGTTGTGGGAGCTCTCACAATTCCTTTTACCACCTTGTTGGAAGAGATTCGAGCGATACAATCACAGTCTACAGAAATTCAGGATATTAGAAGTCAAATTCTAGCCGGTAATCGCACTCCTGCATGGACCTTGCATGATGGACTGGTTTATTTCAAGCACAAACTGTTCCTGCTACCTGACTCCACAATAATGCCTACCCTTTTATCTGTCTTCCACGAGATGGCAAATGAAGGCATCACAAAAACTCTCCAACGTCTGCAGCGTGAATTTTATTGGATGGGCATGAAAAATTCAGCGGCAAATTATATCCGCGATTGTCAAACATGTCAACAACACAAGTGGTTAAACTTACAACCGACAGGATTACTCCAACCGTTGCCAATCCCGGAACACATCTGGTCCGATATCTCAATGGATTTTGTGGAAGGCTTACCGAAGGTTCACGGCAAGTCCACAACCCTGGTGGTCGTCGACAGATTGTCTAAAGCAGCGCATTTTATTCCTTTAAGCCATCCCTTCACGGTTGTCTCAGTGGGAGGGATCTTTTTTTCTTAAATTGTCAGACTCCACGGACTCCAAGAATCCATTGTCTCAGACAGAGATAAAATCTTTGTGAGTAACTTTTGGCGGGAGTTATTTCGTTTGTCAGGAACCAAACTTGCTTTTTCTTCGGCCTACCATCCTCAAACAGATGGCCAGTCAAAAATTGTCAATCGCACGGTAGAAATGTTCTTGCGTTGCCTAACTAGCGCACTCCCTTGCGAGTGGGTTCGTAGGCTTCCATGGGTGGAGTATTGTTACAACACTTCTTACCACACCGCTTTGGGTGACACCCCTTTCCGATTAGTTTATGGACGAGATCCCCCCAAACTGGTGACATATACTCCTGGAACAGCTATGTTAGAGGGGGTAGAGCAGGAACTCCTTAACCGCGACAACATCATATCTGAGGCTAGACTACGATTAGCTCACGCACAGAACCGCGTGAAACAATACTATAACAAAGGGCACCGTGAATTGTCTTTCACAGTGGGTGATTGGGTTTGGTTACGTGTGCATCCATACCGGCAGTTGACACTGGTCTCTCGTCACCACAAATTACTGCCAAAATTTTATGGTCCCTTTCAAGTCACTGCAAGGATTGGTACAATGGCCTATAAGCTAGAGTTACCCACAGAGAGCCGCATACATAATGTCTTTCATGTATCTCTCCTCAAGCCACACAAAGGACCCATACCAGAAACCATGGGCTCCTTGCCACCACTGGATATTATGCCAGAGGTTTTGAGGCCATCCACAGTGCTGCGCAGTCGGCTTAATCGCGGGGTAATAGAGGTGCTGGTCCAGTGGCATGAGAAGTCCATAGAAGAAGCTTCTTGGGAAACAGTGGCGTCATTTCGCATGGCTTATCCGGATTTTGAGCTTGAGGACAAGCTCTTTGCTAACGAAGGGAGTGATGTTGTGGACTCCTTTTGGGGCCACACTTATAAACGACACATAAATGGTCCAAAGGCCGAAGAGTCAACAATTGAAAGTGGCTGAAGTTGGGAATAAGGATATAGTTTCCTAATTCTAGTTAGTTTCCTAGTTCTAGTATATTTCCTTATTCTAGTTACTTTATATGGCTGAACTGGGAAACAAGAATACTGTTTCCTAATTCTTATAAGTCCTGATTCTAGTTTTATTTCTAATTCTTGTTTCCTTTCCTATTTAGAACTCTAAGCAGCCTCTCTACATAAAGGGTTTTTTGTTATGGAATACAGTACGTTTTTGGAGAATTAATTTGTACGTCTTGACAAGGTCGGGCGCCGATTAATTTAACAAGAATAGCTTCATTAAATTATACTGATTCTTTGTCTCTTTCCCGATTAATATCTCGAACACATCCCTGGACTAGGGCTAGCTCTCGCCTCCTTAACACTGCCATTTCTCATTTAAACAGTATGGTTGAGTTCAAGGAGTTAATGTTGCATGTAATCTAATTGACCTCCCTTACGGTGGCCCTAAATTTACTTGGACTGAAATTAGGTCCAAAGGAAGGCATTGGAGGAGACTTGATAAGGTTTTATTTAATGACAACTTCATTGGTGTTTTTGATCAAATTAAGGTTGATATTCTAACAAGCTCTCCTTCAGATCATAATCCTATCATTATTCAGTGCGTGAAAAGTGATTTCTCAGGACCTAAATCTTTTAGATTCCAGAATATGTGGCTTTCTCATCCTTCTTTTATTGAAAAGGTCTATTATAGCTGGAATTCTCATAATTTTGGAAGAGGAATGAGGAGACTGGTGTCAAAACTTCAATGTTTAAAAGAAGAGTTGAAAATTCGAATAAGGAAGTGTTTGGAAATATCTTTGAAAATATCTTTGAATAATGTACATTTAGTGAGGTTTATAATACATTATTGCTCATTTAGCGGAAACCGTAATTTTTCACTTATATTACAAAAATGCCACCGAAATTTTTGGCTTGTATTGATTGTTGGGCTGTCTTTCTTATTTGGGCCGGGTGTACATACACCCGGATGCACCATATACGTACTGACTTCAGCTAATTCTTTACCTATTTTGAGCAGAAAGGCTTACTATTTGGATTAATTTGGTATTCCTTTCTTGAGATACATGTTTTAATTTACTTTTGCTTTGGAGTGGTTTTGGTCTAGTCCCCCGCTTCTTCTGCAATTTTTGTTTATTTTAATAAAATCCTAGTAAATGTTCTCCGGCATTTACTTCACTGATTTTGGTGGTTTGCCTATCGGGTTAAAAAAAATTGACCCATCTGCTATCAAAATTCATTCGAAGATTATTACGCAGAAATGCCCAATCAACTCGGTTATCGGCTTTGCTCATATCTGATTTTAAAGCCACAAGAGCTCCTTTCCATAGCTTTTTCTCTTAAGAAATGTTGAGTTTCAAAAGGCACAATTATATTATCCACTATGGATCTTCCCAGAATGAAGACACTTTGATTTTATCCCACCACAGAATCTAAAATTCCTTTTAAATGATTGGCCACAACCTTTCAAAAAAAATTATACACTACATTGCATAGAGCTATAGGCCTTCAATCTCCCATATTCTCCGATTTATCCTTCTTAGGTATTAACACAATATTTACCCTTAGTAAAAGGGCGAAATGGGTACTCAAACGGTGAATAGGGATTTTTCTTAAAATTTGAGTAATTCAAAGTAGTAATTTTTTAGGAATGGAGTGAGTAACTTTTTGGATATTTTATCAAAACTCATTTGATTCAATTATTTAAATTGAAGTTATTTATTAATTAATATATTTATTTGCGATAAAAAAAATTAATATATTTATTTATTTATTCATTTATTTATTACTTACATATTAATTACTCCATCAATCCTACATAGTCCACATTCTTTATTGGCCCGTCTCTAAATCATCCCATTTTCCCTTTTAAAGAAAAGACCATGTAGTTGATGCTATTTTTCTCCTCTATATAAATCTTAGGAACGCTTTTCTTCTTCTTCTTAATTTGTGTACCTAGGGGATTGATTTGGGACAGATGGAGTTTTTATTATTATAATATATAAAGTTATTATGGGAGTGTTTGCAAAAAATAAAGAAAGTGCTTTTCAGCTTTTAGCTTAAAAAAGTTGAAATGAAGGTTTTAAAGTGACAATTTCTTTTTAAATTAAGCACTTTAAAATTAAAAGTTGAAAGCATGTGGGCAATAAGGCAATTGATACGAGTTTCTAACCTTAGAGAGTTTCAACTTTCAAGATACTGTCGAATCTGGGCAATTGTTGTTTTCCACTAAATGGATTTATTTCATTTTTTGAGTTTGTCTTTGACTATTTGGTTTGTCTTTTGCCGGTGTGAGATGACTTAACATGCCTTGTAAAACAATGGCTAGTTAGAGCAAATCAGCCTTCCAATTCATGTTAGTTTTAAGTGTAGACAGACAGCTCATTTTGATACCATATTAACAGATGGGTAAACTTTGATTCATGTTTATAAGTTCATCAGATAGGTGGACACTTCAGCTATCAGTCTCAGTTGTCCCAGCCCCAACCCGCCCTTATTTCATTGAAAAGTACTTTTCTGTGTAATTTGTTTACACAGCATAAAATATTATCTTTAACTTCATATCATTTGTACATTGAAATTCTGATTTGGTGTTTCCACTCACCGGATAAAGATTACAACAAAACCGCTTCTTCTCTGACTGTCGTGTATGGATGTCCAAGAAAATGGCTTCAAAGGTCAACTGCATATGTTAATATGTTATGGAGTGAAATCTTAAAGAATCTGCAGATGAGCAGCCAAACAGTACTGAACTTCGAGTCATCATTCCAGAAACTGCAATCCTCCCTTCTGGAGAAAACACTAGATTACCAAGACATAAACTTCTCCAACCCATCCGTCCAGTTTTGGAACAGATACATTTACAATACCCTGAAACCTTAGTTATTGTTGTTGATAAGTTCTTGAGGAACGGGAGATTGAGTTTGTGCAGGACCCCCCCCCCCCCCCCAAAAGACTTGGTATGAGGGTAGAAAATATGCTATACTCCTAACTAAACAATACATTGTACACTGAAGTGTCTTGAAATCGTTTTTATATAACAAATTAATGTGCAAACAAACATTCCAAAAGGCTTGGGGAATTGGACCTTAAATGAGTAAATTTGTTCTAAAATCATAGCGGGTCGGTTCCGGTTATATTTGAAAATAATGGAACCGAAACTGAAAAAATGGCAATGCTTTCATTTCTTTACTCATCCATTTCAGTTTTGGAATCCAGTTTACTCGTACTTGTGACCCTGCTCTCAAGTCATACCAAAAAAGACATGAAGTTCAGTTGTACTTGGCAAGGACTGAGTCGAAGAAAATGAAAAAAGTGACACTTTCGTAGAATTATTGGAAAAGTAATGACCACACTTTTTGTTTTGATGAAAACAGGACGGTTATTTAAGAACTTGCTTTAGTGAAATAGGATGACTATTTAATAACTTCAGAAAGATGAATAGGGAACATAGATAGTAATGTTCTCAAGATTCATCCACCCTCAGGCCCTCAACAATATGTTGTCATTACTATTCAGTTTCTTGACATAGAACTTGATACACAAATAAGAATCAACTCTCACTAGCCTTAACCAAGATCTTTGTGCAGGCTCCGCTTTAGCAAAGTAGGATGGATCCGGCCCGGCTATGATTTCAACTGAAACCCGACCTACCCCTTAGAGCATTCATAGTAATGGTGTCCATAAATGAGACATCATCAATCAAATAACTTATAGTTCATTTCAGAACATTGATCAATTGATGTCACATTCGTATTAAAATTATGTCGCATATCTCACCCAAGAACTTTTATGTGCTTTTTCTTTTGTTTTATTGTGTATAAACGGGTGTTGTTTTAGAATGGGTATCGAGTGTATGTTCCAAAAGTGAAACTTGACACCCATCATTATGGATGTCCTAAGAGGAACATTTAAAACAAACAACTTCAAAATTAAGAAAAGAAAAACCTATACATCCCACGTTCATGGAAAAAAAGACAGAACTTTTATCTATCACAATTAGTAACAAGGAGCTGATATTAATTTACCGAGCAGAAGCAAAAGAAGACATAAGCTTCTCTGTCTGTTTCCCATTATTTATATATTCTTGCAAGACGAGATCTACTTCTTTAATCACCCCAAGCCTCCTGAACCAACGAGCCAATGTACCAGAAGCTTCTTCCCCAAGCATAACACCTCCCTTCTCCAAATCAATTAAGAGGCCTAGTGCCTTGTTTAGGTCATTCTCCTTTTCATACGCACCCAACATCAATGCCACACATTTTTCATTCGGTTTGATTCCTGCCATCCTCATATTTTGAAAAGCAATATAAGCCTCAGATAGTTGGCCTGCCACAAGATAAGCATTCACCACTAACCCACAGATCTTTGCATCCGGGATGACACCCGCTAATTGCAGAGCATTGAAAACACTTTCAGCTCCTTTTGTGTCACCTGCCATGGAGTAGGCTCTCAACAGTGCTTTATAAACTTCACTTCCTGCGTAAATGTCTTTGTCCTCCATTTCCCTAACTAACCCCTCAGCTTTACTGAGCTCTCCAGCCCTAATGTAGGCCATAATCATTGACCCGTAGGATCTTCTGTCCAATGGGTGTCCAAGCAGCAGCAACTTTTCAAAGGTATCTTCTGCCAGCTTATGATTGCCAGCCTTGCTGTACATGTGAATTAATGCTGTAAGCACCACCTGGTCATATATGATGCCTTTGTTTTTCATGCTCAAAAGCATCTTTTCAGCTTCCGGAACAAGATTTTTCTTTGCATAGCATTGAATGATTTTAGTATAGTCACGAATATTGCATTCAAATGATTCCACTTCTAGGGCAAGCTCAGCCACCTAAGAGATAGGCAAAACTTAGTTATTGAATTATTAAAAGTCATTCCATTACGATCAAATATAAAAATACAAAACTATATATATGGTTAAGTCATACCACACCAGTCAAAACTATATATATACCAACATATAATGCTAAATATAATAGCAAACAAAATGTTGAAAATCATGTACTTCTTGTAGGCATTGAATAAGCCGCTTAAAGTTCTTCAACACCAGTTACATATCAAGATATGAAACCAACATACAAGCCTTAGGGCCACTGTACCTATAAAGCTTAAGGATAAACCACAGATCCTATCATATTTAAACGAGCAAAGCCAGAATCAAACTTATACTCGAGCCATATATCTGAGTATATCTCAAAAGATTTCATGTAAGGCCTACTTCAACGAACCACCATCGTATATAAATATATAAACCAAATACCATCATATATTTTGATACAAACCAACATCCAAGCATTGAGTTACTCCCTCGATAGGGTTTATTATTTAAGAAAAACACAGGTTTTGATAATCGATTATACAGCAAAATAAAATGGAAAAACCATAATGAAATTTAAAACGAATGGAGTAAAAATTTACATTGAGGAATCATAATTTCTTTTGGTGCTCAATGCTGCTTGGAAAGGAAATTCCAAAGGCTCACTTTTCTTAACCCGAACACTCAAATGCTTATTCTACCCTCTATTTTTAAAAGGAAAAAATGTCTGGTTAATGCCTTTTAAGGTTTATATCTGCAGACTTGTGATAGAGGGAAAATAAGGTTTAGTTAATTTACAACATAAAAGGGAAGAATTGACAATTAAAAAAACAAACATCCATTGAAAGAACAAATAAAAAATAAAAATATACTGGTAGGCCAAACAGGAAAAACCTTCATACCTCAAGATACAATGGACTATTCAGCCTATCCAATTCTTTGAGAACTACTAGCCAGTCAGCTCTCTTGGGCTTCATACTTTTCACCCAGGCATCCAACAGATGTGCTACACTGCCTGTTTCAGGTGAATAGCATATGAGTTGTTTCATTAAAGCCTTGCATCTATTTGTCATCTTTAGTGGCAGCTGAGAAAGTGTTTGTTTTTGTTCATTTGAAATATCAGGACCTATTTCAACCCATTGAAACTTTGATTTTTCTTCACTTTCAATTTCTCCCACTTTTTCTGTCCTGCTGATGGCCAAAACTGGCTGCAAGTCCAATTCTTTATAATTGACATGAATTGGGTTGTTCGAAATGGAGGTTTCCCATAATCTGCCGCAGTGCAGTCTCGGGTAAAAATGGCTCAGTGCAAATACTGAATTCGAACAAGAAAACGAATAATGAGAAGTTGAAGCCATACCCATCCAAGAAACTGTAGAGTGTAGACACTAGGCCAGAATCAGAAAGCACACGAGAATTAGTTCATAGTGAATAACGGATTATTGTCTAAACGAAACAGCATTTCTGCAAGGCACAACAATGGTCAATTCGATTCTTCTTTGATTCTTTTTTTTTCTTATCCTCCTCCTCTTCCTCTGTTTTAGTTCTCTCTTTTCCCTTTTTATTGACGATTTTATTTTCTTTTAACTAATTTTGAAGAAAATGATTGACCGTGAAAGTTGGTAGCGTCTTAGAATAAAATGATTAATGTTTTTTTAAAGGAAAAACTATATCGATATGATTAGAATCAGAGTCGTTACAAAAATCTCAAAATGACCAGAAATGACAACAACTTTCATCTTCCAACCAGAACGGACTTAATGCAGCTATTGCTAAAAAAATATATTTGTCCCCTCTAACAATATCAAATCTAGTCGAATCCTCGATCAATGTAAAAAACCTATTACCTGAATAGGAATTGCTCTAAATAGGAGCAAAAACGTTTTGAAATTCCAAAATAGGAGTATCATGTTTTTTATTCCCTGAATAGGAGTAATCTGCCAAGTTTGGAAAAAAATGCCATGTTTTAAAGCCTAGTAATGCCAAACTTGGTAGAAATTTACTCATATTCAAGGAATAAAAAACATGATACTCCTATTTTAGAATTTCAAAACTTTTTTATTCCTATTTAAGGAATTCTCTCTAAGAAAAAATAGATTTGAATGTCATTGAGATCTCGAATCACCAAGTGCTATAGTCTATTAACCTTCCTTCATTGTGTCCATCAATAGGAGTCCATCTTTGCTATATCTTGCATCAGGAAGATTCTTCATCAAAATCATATTCTCATGACACATGTTCTGGATCTGGCTAACAAAGCAGCAAATGCCATTAGTTTAGGCATTGACATTGAATCTTCACACTTCAAAAACATTCTCAAATTTGATGCAATTGCTTTTCCTTATATCATTTAATATTTTTTATTTTGTTTCCTTTCCTTTCTCTGGAGGTTTTGGCTTCATGCCTCTCTATATTGTATTTTCTTTTATGCTCATTTAATAAATAGGTAAGGTGTTTCTGAGCCCTTATCCCATCTTAGGATGGTTTACTACTAGGGTCTAAAAAATGTAAAAAGTAAAAAGGGATAAACATAATAAAAGTGGAGCTTTAAAGATATTTTGATAGAAAAACATTTAAAAGGGGAAAGAATGACAAATAATTAAAAATATCCTATAAAGAAATATGATACATTTATTACAAAACGGAGGGAGTATTTTATTTATTTATTTATTTATTTATTCACTTATTTATTTATTTATTTATTTGTTTGTTGGTTGATTGGTTTATTTACTTATTTATTTATTTACTTACTTATTTATTTATTTATTTATTTATTTATTTACTGATTTATTTATTTATTTACTTATTTATTTATTTCTCTATTTATTTATTTATTTATTTATTTATCTATTTAATTAACTATTCATTCATTCATTCAATACTTTTGATTAGATTTTTTACATTAATATTATTTTATTCTGTAAATAACAGTTTTACCTAATACATATGGGTTAATTACCTAAATAGGACTAAAACATAGTCAATAATCACAATATAGGACTACATTATTTTTTAATTCACTAGCAGGACTAATTATGTGTGTTTGGACAAATACACCTTTCTAGCTATTGAAATGTTTTAATTCATAATAAAATCATAAAAATAATAAATAAATCGTAAAAAATAATAAAAAATAATAAAATCTTTATAAAATAAGAATTTAATTTTTTAAAGCAAAATTAAGAAAACGTAAAAGAAGTCAACACCGCCTCTACCACCACAGCACCACCACCTCCGGTCACCGGGAAAACAATGCCACATGCATTAATAATGCCATATTACTTGTAGTTTCAATGAAAATTTTGACATTATCAAAAAGTAATATGCCATTTTTTTAACAAAAAATGACATGTTTTTACATCGGTTGAAGGTGATGGTGCAGGGAGGCAGTAGAGGCGGTGGGAAAAGCATCCATATTTTTCATTCTTTTACGGATTTTTACTATTTTTATTAAGTTTTAATAAAAATAGTTTATGCAAAAAATGACATGTTTTTACATCTGTTGAAGCATTGTTTATTAGCTTCATCCTTACTTATGCATCTAAAACATTATTGCACATGACTCTGGTCATGTCAAAAGTCTTTACAAGTTCTGTGAATTGCACTGAAGTAGCTAAATTTAAGAAAACTGTCTGTGAATTGACTAAGGAACGAGATGACTTTAAACGAGAACGTTCTGAAGCTGTTACTAAATTTAACATGATTAACAATGAACGTGGACGCCTTTACTCTAAAATTAAGGAGTTAGAGGATATTCTTGCTAAGAGAGGTCAATCAGAAGTGAAACTGTTTTTCTGCTTAACAACAAACCAAAGGACACTGAATTTTACAATCCTAGAGAAGGACGTGACTTTCAAAACCCTGAAAACATGAAAAAGGTTGATTGCATTCAATTGTACGACATAAGGTACATGAACTTAGGGTTAACTAAGCTGATGAAATTTACTAGTGCTTCTGAAACAATTGAGGAGGAAGAGGAGAAAAGGAAAAATAGGGTTAAAGCTGAAATTAGTTTCGATTATACTGCTCTTAATGATAGCTATGCTACTAGACAAATTCCTCTTTCTGATGACTATATTGCCCTCTCTCCTCCTGAAAATCAAACTGTGTCCAATGGGGAAGAAACCTCCACTTCAAAGGTTTCTAAACCATATTTTCCTGCGATTATAAAGAAAATGGTTGATCTCCATTCTTCTTTTGAAGAAGAACGAGAAAAGTTTAAAACTGAAAAGGAAAATCTTTTGAAGCAAATTTCTGAATTAACTAATCAATCCTCTCAAGGCTCGAAAACTCCTGATAATTCCCTTTTCGAAAAGAACAAAAGGAAAAATCAATTTTCAAGAAAAAGGGACTCTACCTCATCTCCTGTTCCTAAAGGCAAATTTTCAAAACCTCCTCCTCAACAGACTTCTAAAGAAAATGGCTCATCCTCATCCTCTCATTTTGAAAAACCGAAAGGTAATGTTCTCAATAAACGCCAAGGGAAGAGGATGGCCTGGATTTGCAAACAAAATCAAAAGGAGGCTGCAAGACTCAAAAAACTTTCTGAAAAATCAAAATCTCTTTTTACCAAGTCTTGTAGTAATTTTAAAGCTTCTTGCTCAAATTCTAGCATTCAATCACCTAGTTCTGACACAGACAATTCTTCTAAGTTTTCTTCTGATGATTCTAATCTTGTGAATACTCATTCAAGTGCTTCTGTTAACATAACCAGGCAGTCTAATACATCAAGTCATCTTTGTGATGTGAGTGATGGGAAATCCAAACAGAAAAGATTTAAAGCTTCTACCTATGATGTTTGTGATGATGTTCAACTGAAATATCCTCTCAAGGTTTATTCAGTCAAACATTTGAAACGTCTTTCAAGGGAGAAAATCTTTACTTCTCAAAATCATATCCCATCATTCGCCTGCGCTGAAACTGTTATTGTTCAAAAATGGATTCCTAAATCAGAATTACAGTCATATAGCTCTCCAAAAGCTTCAAAAGAGACTGGTTTAGGAACAAAAATAAAACAAAAATTTCACAATTTGTGTTATGCGAGAAAGGACGGACCCATCCTTAAATGGGTACCAAAGGTTCCTTAATTCTTTTGCAGCTGTCCTTCATGTGTGGTACCTGATATGTTTGCTCCACACACATTATGGGAAATTGAGCTGCTGAGCAACAACATCTGGGCTTCTCAGTAACTCAGCTCAGAACCCGCTCTACAAATTGGCTTCTGAGTAACTCAGCTCAGAACCCGCTATACATCTTGGCTTCTGAGTAACCCAGCTCAGAACCCGCACTACAACAGAGTTTCTATATACATCAGTCTAGAACCCGATGGCACCGAAAGGCTTCTAAACACCTCAATTCAGAACCCACGCACAAACATTGGACGTATCATACGTCAAGGGGGAGCGATGAAGAAATCTTTTTCTGAGCTTCCAAACAAGTTCAACAAAACCTCCCAGTGCACCATTCAAGACAAATCATTCTTTAGGAGGAGCTAGTGTGCACATTATGAAGGAGAGTACTCACATGTATACTCCCACTGAGCTGAAAATCAACAAATGCACACATCAACACTGACACACGCCAAGAACAAAGAACAAATGCATATTCTGAGGGGGAGTGTTTCTTTTTCACTTCTCCTGATGCCATACAACGAAGAAAACACATTCCAAGGGGGGACTTCCTACTTTACTCCCCAGATGACAACAACACTACTTGCAAATTCTAAGGAGGAACATCTCCATTTCCTCCTGGCGCCACACAATGATAGATGCAAGAATCAACTCAAGGATGCACCTTTTGAGGAGGAGTTACAAAGTTCTCTTCCCAAGCGCCAAACAATGTCAAATGCATCCTACTGAGTGCTCCTATTGAGGGGGAGCAAAGAGATCAATGAGAGATAAGTCTCAATGGCTTAGTAAACCCAACTGAGCCTACCTAAGAGACAAAGCCGAGAGTGAGTGAGCGAGAGAACTTTATGAGAGTGAGGAAGCATAAGGCTCAACTGAGCAAGAAAACAATATTCAAAGATGAATCTCCTACCTCAACTGAGCGATCAACTGAAGAATCAATCCTAGTCACTCAAATATTCTGGACAATTCCCCATAGGTACATGACTGAATTTATTCAGATCCCGGGTAGAAGTCGTTGCATCTTGTCCAACAGCGCATGCACAACCCTACCCTAGACCACTCATTTGTCTCCCAACAGACAGGTGTTTAATAAAATTTCACGGGGAACCTCATTATCTATCACCATATCCTTCTGAGGCGATTGGACTACAGTGGCCCACACCCCCACGCCACTGGACTTTCATTGACCACGTCGTGTCTAGTTATCACACTCGTAAATATTTTTAATTTTCTAGGACACAGACACATTTTAGAGTCAGTTGTTGGTCTTCAAGACCTGCGAGAACTTCCATAGGACTCATCTATTATGGATGTAGACCGATGATTGGATGGAAGTCCTGATGTTGCAACATAGAAATCACCAACATTTTCAGGCCATTTCTTTAGAGTTTATCTCTAGAGTGATGATAACGGGAGTCTACGCGACCCC